CCTTGAGGCTGACCATGGGCACACTGTCAGATCGTGCTGGGGGTTCGTTGCATGTGTTTTTTCTTGCGCAGGAGAAGCTCTCTGCGCCTCTCTACTCCATGTTCACGCTGCCGTCTTCTACCAACTTCGCTATGTTGAAACCTGGGTGCCCTGGCAGAGGGAGAGAGTGGGTATAGGTTAGGTCCTAGTAATGGGTGGGGAGGGAAGAATCCCCGGAATCGGATAGCTGTTTTATTTTGGGGGGATGAGCTGCTGGGATTGGGCGTTGGTTTGTTGGGTAGGGTAAAGTGAGGATGTGTAATTTGATTGAGGGCAACTGAGGTTTCCGCCATCTTAGCGCCTGCTGCCTATCCTTGGGTGACCGGGGAGCAGACCGCAAGGCTGCTAACTATACTGATGATTAGGGAGGAGCACGCACATTCTTGTTCTACCTTGGGAAGTACAAGTAGTCATAACAACTAGGATCCCGGGAGATACACCGGCATGACTCAGATTTGTATTACCTTTTAATTCTGTCGTGGAGGGGAACAATATCTTCACTGTTCCCCTTCTCCCTGTGTGACACGCGATCTGCCGGTAAGGAATAACTCTAAATAAGAACGATTAAACACCAAATGACAAGCGTGGCCGGGTGAACATTCTTGGGTGATCTTACAACTGGTGGCTGGATTTCACTGACATTCTCAGGCTGGGAGGGGGCTTCGGGATTGTCTCGATAAAAGGAAACTGTGTGGGATAAACGTCGACAAACTACGGGATGGGTTCCGCCATCTGTGATTGGGCTCAAATGGATGATCTAACTTGGCCTATAATTAGACGGGCAGTCAATCCCCTTGGAAGAGGGTAATCAATGCTGTCCTGCTTGACCTAATTGTTTGATATGACCTTCTCCAGTCTTGTATGTGGGACGCTGGACCCGGTTTCCAGCAGGTGCCGCTTCCCACCAATAGATTGGAGCCATCTACCACTTGGGGCCTACCATTGGGAGATGCTTGTATCACCTCCAACGGTAGGCTCCCGCAGATGTTTTGTTAAAAAAAAGAACAAAAAAGAAAAAGAGACTCTTCGCTAGATCAAGACGCAGCCTGCTCTCACTGATGCCCTGAAGCGGTGGATTGAAGTCATTGATATGTAGGACTTCAAGTTGGACCACCTCGAGGGAGAGTACAATAAGGTAGTAGACGCTTTGTCTAGAAGGGCTGATTATCTGGGCGCGCAAGTGACAGAGTTTGGTATATCCGACGATGTGACTTGATCCATAGTGGAAGCCTATCTGGAGGAACCCATTATGTCTGAGATCAAGCGCAAAGTCGAGGCCAAGGATAAGGCCACATCCGATGAGTTTGTGCTGGTTGATACCTTGCTGTTCCTCGAGAAGCTCAGGAATAAAAAGTTGTCCCATCAAAAGAGTCTTTGTGTAGTTGATTTTCAGGGGAGTGTCGCGACACCATCAGCTATTTTGGCTACACGAAGACAGGAGCAAACTTAGTGCAGAAGTTCTGGTGGCCCATGGTGAAGGATGATGCGAAGAAGTACGTGGAAACATGTCAGGTTTGTCAGCATGACAAACCGAGGACGCAGGCTCCACTTGGGCTAATTAAGTCCTTGCCTATCCCTGCTGGTCATGTTCAGAGTGTGTTCATGGACTCCATGGATACTCTCGTGACCAGCAAGAGTGGAAAAAGGCACATCTTCGTCGTGGACAGATTCAGCAAGTACGCCAGGTTAATTGCCATGCCAGAGACAGCTAGGACTGATCATGTCATTAAGCTGTTTATGGATAACTGGGTGCATGACTTCGGTCTTCCTAAGTCCATAGTTAGTGACAGGGACGTCAGATTCACTAGTGACCTGTGGCAAAGCACAGCCCGGCAGATGGAAACCCAGCTGCAGATGACATCAGGGAATCCCCCCGAGTCCAATGCCCAAGCTGAGCAAATGAACCGGGTAGTGCAGCACCTGCTCTGGGATGAGAAGTTGCCTCTCATCACCAGCCTGTAGAATAATGCTGTACACAGCACTACCGGCATGACTCCCACCCAGCTGCATCTTGGTTAGAAGCCCAGATCAGCGCTTGATTTTCTGCTGCCTGAGAACCAACCCACAGCAGCACCTGGCAGCATTGAACTTGCTGTCAAGTATGACAAGATGCTGCAGCAGGTTGTTGAACACTCAAGAGTCAAAACCCAGGAAACTATGGTAGCTTCCGAAAACAGGAAAAGACGGCCATCTTCATTCCAGGTAGGTGAAAGGGTGTGGATTAAATCATCTGAACTGGGACAGGAACTGGGTATATCTAGAAAACCCATGCCACAGTGCTTTGGACCTTGGGAAGTCCTGGACACAGTAGGGGATCAGCCAGAACCTTCATATGTCATTGGAATCACTGGACACCTTCGCGCACACCCTGTTTTCCATGCCTCCAAACTGGCTCCTTTCGCTGAGACCGATAAGTTTCCTTCAAGAAGATCTGTGCTGCCCCCAACCATGGACGGACACATGGACATCAACCATATCATAGAGCACAGGTGATGCCTGTGTCCAAGCCTCCGGGCAGGGGTTGACGGCCCAAGCCGCAGATGCCGTATAGAGTCTGGTTCAGACATCATGTTGACCCGAAGGAAGATCGGTGGTTCACAAGAGAAGAACTGATGACGACTGCTCTGCAGGTTATCTCGGGATATAAAAGAAGAATGAAAGGGAAGCAGGTCTATCGAAGTAGAGGAGGAGGGAGTGCGAGGATTTTCAGCCCTATTCATACCTGCATGTGGCCCCTACAGCAAGCATGTGCCCGCCCTAAAAAAAATGTGGGCCCCCGAATCTCAATGAGGCCTGAATTTGTCAATTTTGCAAAGCCTTGGAGGGAGCCAGACAGTTGCCACGCGCCAGTTAGTTGCATCCGCGCCACTCATGAAAATCAGAAACATTCGTGAGCCTTCCAGGCTCTTCTGGCAACTCAGTGGATGCAGGGAACACCTCACGTTTGCGTTTGGGTGGTTGGGCAGGCCTAACCAATTCGGTCCCAGTCCACTGTCTGAATGGGCCTGGGCACAGACACTTTGGCCCAACCTGAAGCTACTGGGCACACGCGAGGCCAGGCCAGGCCAGGCTGCCATTGGGCCAGGCCACTTCGCATAGAGCAAAGTGCCTGACCGTGAGTCGGCCATTCAGGCACTTGGCTGTGCAAGCGGCAGCGCTGCTGGAGCGATCGCTTGTGCCTGCTAGCTAGCGCTAGTGCTTGACGCATGCACGGGCGTGGGGTGTTGTTGGGCGCTTCAAGGTAAGCAGCGTCATAGCCTGGGCGTCCTTAGCTGGCCCTGGGAAGACATAGCCGGCGGGGATTGGCAATGGTCTTAGGGGACAGTGATGAGACGTGGGAGGAGAGACAAAGAGGGGCAGTAAGAGGTGAAGAGTGAAGTGACGTGAGAGCATGTACCTGGTCCTGGCGGAGGTCTGCATGGTCGACATCTGCATGTACGGTTGCTGCTGCTGATCTCAACTGGTTGCTTTGTTATTTTGTTAGACTACTGTCTTCACCCTAATAGAACATACTGCCACTTTCCCTGCATCTGGACTAACGGGTGGGCCAAATACAGACATAATGACCATATGTTCTATTCGGATCACAGTAGCTGTATGATAGTAGCCTGAGCGCTGAGCGCCGATACGAGGAAGAACTTTGAGTACATCGATGGTGGTGGCGAGAGAGCGCTCTCATTGACAATTGAATTCGCTGCTTTGGTTCTCCTTCAGTGTGATTTCAGTGCATTTCTGCTTTCTGGACAGCTTACGACTATCTGGGATTCAATGAGATTCTTTTCTTTTTTTTTTTTCTTTTTTTTTTTTCTTTTTTTTTTTTGAGACGATGCTCCAATCTATTGTGTGCCATCTGGAATCATGTCATTTTGCTATTGCTCATTGTCCTTGGATACGTATGTATTGCTATTATCCACTTGAGAGACCTACCCGCACACAATAAGGACATTCCGGTGGCGTCTCATCCCCAGCAAACATCTACCGCTTTCCCTTTCCTCTTGCTGTGACACGGCGCATGCCACACAAAAATATACACCACCCTTCCCCTCGTCCATATGCTGCCTCGTGGCTTGCACACCTCGTATTCAACAACCCTGCACTCCACTGTCCTTTCTCCCAGCCTGGCCACTGCCTGCCAGTGCCCCCTCCTCCAACACCTCTTCGACTCTTCGCCAGTCGCCATCAGCATCAGCATCATCAAGTGCAAAACCTCACCAGGAGAGGTTGGATAGGAAGGAGATAAATACGAGGAGATAAATAGTAAATACGTAGAGGAATCATGGGAATGTTGACAGTGCTGGATTTGTGACCTTAAAGAGGGGGGACATACCATTGTATTCCAGCACAGAATTCATGTGACGCTGATCAAGGCAACACGTTGATGGGTTGAGGCTTCTTAGATACAAGAGTTCACACATTAAACCACCAGTACTTCCGAAAGTCATGGCCGCACACATGCCACGAGTGGTGGGATGACTGGGCCTACGGTGCTCATTCAATTGGAAATGTTGCGGTGGTTCAAGAGGTTCCGACACAAGAGTATGGGCTCTTAAAAACAACTCAAACATGCGTGCAGTGATGTCTTTAAAATATAAAAAAAGAAGAAAGGAAAGGAAAGGAAAAAGAGAGGCTCTATTTACTGGACTCTTTTGAAAGGGATAGAGGCAACGATTTTTCATCTTCCAGTGAATTCCACAACCACCAGGATTCATGTCATGTTCTCCTCTTCCTTTGGCGCTGCAAATCTCCTTAGCTGCACCTATACCCATCCCTTTCTTACACCTCTTCCATTTTGACCTGTGAGTTCATGGGACGCTGGGCCCGATTCCCAGCAGGTGAGGCTCCCCACCAATAGACGGAGCGGCCCGCCAGGCAAAGCCTCAATCCCGGTGGTTCTCTTACCACCACCAGGATAGAGGCCAAAAAAAAAAAAAAAAAGAGTTCACCCACATGGTTGAACGCACCTCGTGTCTATTCCAGAAGTAGAGCACGGAATGTTGCATGAAGGCAGCTGTTGCAAAGAATGCCAAATACGAGAACCCTGCTGAATAACGCAACGGTATGCATGTCCCACAGTGGAGCACACATTAGTACACACACAGACACACAAACACACACAAACACACACACTCACACACACACACGCACGCACACATGCACACACACACATAGTACACATGCATTAGTACACACCACAATGTCCACACATGCACATAGCAATAGCGCAAGAGAAGCCCTTCTCCTTCTAGTCTGATCTCTGGCCTATGCTTGCCGAGATAAGCAAGCGGACTGCTGTCCCCCAGAATAGATCAGGCTTTGAGTTTTCAGAAGAAAAAAAAAAAAAAAAAAAAAAAA